TCTAGCATCCTTCTAACATGCAAGGGAACACACAGAATTCTCAGTTTGTTAGTTTGTTAAATTTTTGAGGTAAGTTCTCATGTAATTCAGGCTAACCTCCAACTTGCTCTGTAGCTTGAGGATGACCTTCAACTCCCTGACCCTCCTACCTTAACCTTCTATGTGCTGGAATTGTAAGCATGGCCCACCATGCTGCGATTTAGTGTTCTTTCTACTGGTGGAGGTCAAAAGTGCTGTTACCATTTTGACTAGCTTCTCATTGCTGTGGAATTGTATTTTTAAGTCACAACATCTGTCTTATAGTTTAAAAAGAAAATTAAACACTTGAAGCATGTTCTGTCTCAAATGAGAAGGCATAACTAATGTAGAGTTGTTTCGTGTGTAAATGTAGACATGAATTCTGGTGGTGAAATGCCAAAAGCCCAAATTAAAAAACAGGAACTGGGACTAGGATCTGGGAATGAGAGGAAAAGCTACAGAACTGGGTGATGGGGGAAGAGAATAGGGAAAGTATCCCAAGGTGATGGAATTGAATAAAATTAAATACTGCATAAATTCCTTGTTGCCTAATGTAACATTGAAACATTCTAGGATTCTTTGGTCCTCTTTCTGTGTTCCATGCAAGAAAAGGCAGTTCTAGAGTGAGATCAGGACACATCCAACACCTTGTGGCTTATATTTGTTGTGTGTGCGTGCGTGCATGCGTGTGTGTGTGTGTGTGTGTGTGTGTGTGTGTGTGTGTTGGGAATTTATTTTTATTCCTTAATTTCTTCTGTCATCTCATTACTCCATTGCTTTTGCACACTCCCAAGCCCATGAAGAATTGTAGTCATGACCAAGGACAGATCCAGGCTAGGTTGGCTCTGAGTTTTCCCAAGAACAAAGGTTTTCCTGCTACCTGCTAGGACACCGATGGCCTTGCCTTCTGTATAACCTCAGCCTTTCATAGGGGAGAACAGTGTCTCAGTCTGTGCAGTGGTCCCGGGGGCAGTAGACGGAGCTCTACTGTAGAGAGGATAAGCTAAAAGGGGCACTTCCACTCTAGGCCCCTTCTCCATGCACCTCAGCGACTAGCAAAAACCAGGATCACAAGTGATGCTCTCACTGGTGACTTTTTCTCAATGATTCTTAGCAACCTGAGTCAGGAAAGCCTTTACCCCTACTTCTGAACACTTGGTCAAAGGTTTAAAACTTTTTATTTTTAGCAATGTTCAATATTTTTGAGATTTTTACATTATTTAAATGTTGAAAAAGGCAAACTTAATGTTTCTCATCTGGAGTTCATGCGAAGTTCTACCATTTTCAAGATGCTCACTTCCAAAAGGAGCGCTCCTAATGCACAGACAGTAATAAGCTGATGCGTCCATTTCAAGAATTTCTAAAGCAAATACAGTCTTTTCCTTGATCTCTCTCTTCCCTGTCGTCCCCTGATCCACGCTCTGTCATCTGTGTATATGGGGCACGTTGAATGTCATATAAATGCATAAGAAATATTGGGTTGGGTTGAGTGCTACATTCCAAGAGAAGCACTGAGGAGTTAAAGGTATGAGAGGAGAATGATGCTTACAGCTGAAAATAAACACAAAGTGTGTCTTATTGGCAATGCTTGAAGCTACTGGTGAAGCTAAAAGACTACCATGGTGTTGAAAGATGCTGGAAGCAATGCAGTCAGTCTAACATCAATGATCACAGCAAAGCAGAACATCTCTGTTCAGAAGGGTGACATTATCCCACCGGATCACATTTAGCGATGAAATCATCTGAATCCCATCCATGTGAGCAGAACACACTGAAGGGAGTGAATGCTCTCTGAGTGCTGGGGTTAAAAGCATGTGCCACCACTGTCTGGCTCCTGAATGCTGTCTCTGAGCATGCAGACACATGAGAAGGGCCAAAGGGAAAGAATGAAGAATGGGTTCCCACCGCAGTGCAAGAGGACAGCAGAAGGGGTAGGGGAGGGGTGGTTCTCTCTGAGAAAAGTGCTGAAGGGCATATTTACCAAGCAGAGAAAATTCTAGAAGCATCCCACTTCATAATTCTGGATGTATTTCTCTCAAATCAGCTAGTTTCTGGCAGTGGTTCTATAGTAGTTTATTAGTACAAATAGTTAAACTGCTGAATAGTGTGCCAGGGTCCTGTGTCCATTTACTCTAAGTACTTACTCTGCCCGAGTCATGTTCTAAGCTCCAGGGGTAAGGCAGGGAACAAAAAGAAGGTGTCTGTTCTCCAGGGTCTTGCATTCTAGAGATTACCCGAATGGTACAATAATTGTATCAATATTTAATGGGCTCTATTCAAAAGTAATTTCCCCTTTACATGTAGTTGTCCCCTGTCAAATTTATCTCGGCTCACTTCCTGAAAGAAGAGTAATATTTACAAAAGCACATTTAATAATCCTAAATATCAATTATACATCATATGATCTTTGTACACATATAGATTTCAAAAGTTAAATGGGATATTTTTTCCTAGAAATCTTCCTACATTTCTATTGGAAATAAAAAAAATCACCTATTTCATACATTAAGGTATTTGGAATGGTTCTTATTCTGGAAGTTGAATCTACTGTTACCACGTAGTACTAGGTAATTTATATATGTATAATGGTATCAATTCTGATACTCAGCTATGAATATCAGAAACCTAGTAAAACACACACTTCTCAAAATATGTAAATCGTTGACAGTTTTCTGAGGGTAGCATACAGTGTGTTTTGATCATATTTACCCCCCCCAGGTCTTTCCAGATACATCTGCCCACTCACCCAACTTCTTCTTCTGAAAAAAGGATAAAACCTATAAGACTTCCTTCTGCTTCCCCGTGTATGGTCGTTCACGGACAGGGGCTGACTTCCCAAAGCTGCACTCTCAGAGCAAACCGGCTCTCCCTCTCCCAGCAGCTGACAGCAGCCGAAGCTCCACAGCTGGGGTGGTAGTTCAGGCCCAACTCCCCCTTCCTTGCTGAGATTTGGACTAGCTTGTGCTTACACATCGGGGTCCTGACTCTCCTGGTCTACTGAAACGCAAGATGTACTCTGAGAAGATGACTGAACTTCCCGCTTATGCTACTGCTCAGCCAACGCTTGCTAGGCGTGATGCTGTGATTTCCAAACAATAATTAGTAAACTTTTTGAGCATCACTTGCATGGACACAGTAGTGCGCATTTTCCCTCATCCAGAGCACTGTGTGAACTACGCAGTTTTGAAACTCATTGTTCTCATTTTATAGAGGAAGGAATTAAAATACATGATACAGAAGTTATAGAAAGCTTACACAGCTCCTTAGCATGAAGGTCAGGTAGGAATTCTGCTCTCAATTCCACCTTATTTAAGGTGACCATAGTCTGATGGCAGGCGTCACAGAGCCGGAGAACTGGGAGTACACCTGGTGAAGAGGTGACAGATTCACAGTGTAGGTCTCAAATCCTGTTGTTTTTCCAAGTAGATATGTATAGACTGGCTCCCTCCCTCGGCCACCCCCAGGTCTGACATTCAAATAGGTGATGCTAAAACCAATACAAATGGGTGTGTTAAAATTTCCTTTGACAAAGCTGCTCTTCCTGTTCATTGGCAAACATCTGGCTCTCTGTGCAATACCGAATGGTAAGCCAATTTCTTCTAAATCTTATTGGAAGCAGCATTTTTTTTCCACAATGTGCGGTCTTTGAGGTTCTGTGGTACAGACATGGTGTTTTCACCTGCCTATTATGCTTGTTCTATTATGTTATCTGGGTGAGATTTGTGACGAGAATGTCCCTGATGATAAATGACGATTCGTTCTTTGTGATTAAGACAGACAGAAGACCAAGCTATTCTGACAATAGAGTGAAGCTCTTCTTTTTTTTGGCCTTTTTAAATTATTAATTTACTTTTTACATTCCAATCCCAGCTCCCCCTCCCCCTTCCTCTTTTCCACCTGTTCCCCTTCCCCCCTCCTACCATCTGCTCCTCAGAGAGGGTAAGGCCTTCTCCCCTAGGAAATCTACTAAGTCTGTCCCATCATATAGTTGAGGCAGGACCAAGGCATCTCTCCATCCCCACACACCTGGATCTAGACTGAGCAAAGTATCTCTCCATGTAGAATGGGCTCCACTAAGTCAGTTTGTGCATTAGTGTTAGGTCTTGGACCCATTGCCAGTGGCCTCATATATTGTCCAAGTCACACCATTGCCACCTATGTTAAGGGAGTCTAGTTCAGTCTTATTCAGGTTCCCCATTTGTCAGACCTGAGTCAGTGATCTCTCACTAGATCGGGTCAGCTGATTCTGTAGGTTTCTCCATCATGGTCTTGACTCCTTTGTTCATATTATTACTCCTCCCTCATTTTGATTGTACTCCAAGAGCTTGGCCCATTGGTTAGTTGTGGATTTCTGCATCTGCTTCCATCTGTTTCTGAAAAAGGGGTCTAGCTTCTCTAGGGTTGTGAATTGTACGCTGGATGTCTTTTGCTTTATGTCTGCTATCCCCTTATGAGTGAGTGCATCCTATATTTGCCTTTCTGGGTTTGGGTTCCCTCACTCAGGATGATTTTTTTCAAGTTCTGTCCATTTGCCTGCAAATTTTAGGATATCATTGTGTCTTACTGCTGAGTAGTAGTATTCCATTGTGTAAATACACCACATTTTCTTGATCCATTCTCAGTGAAGTTCTTTTAACTGAAAGAACAAACAAAACAACAAAAATAACAACAACAAAACCTTATTTCACCTAATCTAACTGTAATTTCACTGGAGGAAAAAAATTAAAATTGCCTTTGACAGTGTGTTACCACGTTTTCCTTCACAGAAATTAAACAAAGCAAAAATCTTAGCAGTGAATATCTAGGAGTCGGTTGTGCTTTTAGCAAAATGCCTACCAAGTTCTTCGGGCATTATTTTCCAGATGAAGCTTCCTGCTCTGGAGCATGTACCTTTGTGGGTGTGAGGGGTGTGTGGGTAACAGTTCACTAAGGAAAGTCAGAATTAACTCTGGAATTTTTTTCTCTTTTTTCCTCCCCTCCAGCTCTTCCTCTTTGTTGTCTGGAACTTTGAGCTCTACATGATACCACTGTTGTTATTGTTACTCCTGACCTGGAACTACTTCCTCATAATATCAGGAAAAGACACCAGACAACGAGATACAGTAAGTCTCTACATTCTTTGTGTCTCACCCCTCTGATGAGATGACACTGAAACTCTGTCTACAAATATCCAACTTTGGAGGAAGGGTTTGTAAGCTCAAACCTAACAACTCTTTGCTCTTAGCACAATATGAAGTATCTGCCTATTTCTTTAATGATTCAGCTTGTTAGAAACTAAAGTGGAAAGTATACAAACTGAGCTATGACATAAAATCATTAATGGCTATTACTCCAAACCTTTCAGTTTGCTGGTTGTTTTATTTCTTCATGAATCCTGAACTAAGAGATAATGTCACAATCTTGTTAAGGATCAGACCAAGTTAATGTATTTTAGTTAGGACAGTTCTCTGGGTAAACTGTAGTTGAAGGAAGAGTTGATGGTTATTAGTCTGGAAAGTGTACTAAAGTTAGTGACTCTTCACTAACAACAAGGATGTGTTTATGAGTTAGGTATATCATGATCCTGCCTCGAGGTTGGAGACTTCTCATTCAATCCAGGGAATGTTGAGTTAAATCTGTACTCCCCCTTGTTTATGAAAGCTCACAGAATGTGTGAGACAAGGAGGTAGAGCTCAGCTGACAAGAGCTTGTGCTTTGACAAGAGCTTGGTCTGCTCCTCCTGTGCTGTTTCAGTCACTGGAGTCCTAGCAAGCACACCAGCATGTGACTGAAGGGGCACATCTTCTCCAAGCTCAACATTTGTAATTGTGTGCCTTGATGGGCAAACATTGAAAAGAATTCAAAAGTAGGTGAGAGCATACTCTGTAATGGGCTATTCTATTATCGAAGTTTTGAGTGTTTTATAGACTCCATTTTATTTACAGCAGGAATATTTCCATTACTATGTATGCTTATTTGATTATCAGTCGAAAATACTACAACACTTTATTGCAATAATGGATATCAAGTAAACTCACTGTCTTACCTATTGCAAAGCAAAAAAAAAAACAATAAAAAATAAACAGTTCCTTAAAGCAAATATGTATTTCACGAGGCGGTGGTGGTGCACGCCTTTAATCCCAGCACTCAGGAGGCAGAGGCAGGTGGATCTCTGTGAGTTCGAGGCCAGGCTGATCCGACAGCCTCCAAAACAATACAGAGAAACCCTGTCTCATAAAAAACAAACAAACAAACAAACAAGCAAACAAAAAAGTATGTATTTCAAATGACAACATAAGCAAATTATATTTCTTCAAAAATAATTTTCCTTCTCTTTAGAATAAATGATAGATACTAATATACAACCACGAAGTTCATGACAGTGTTGTTGATGTTCTAATATGTTGCCATCTCTATGACTAGATTAGTTTAAGGTTGAAGAAACAAATTTTCTGCTGCCCTTTGCATTTGTGACTTTTTAGCATATACTTTACATATTAGAAGTGTTCCGAGTCTTTGTGTGTTGAATACTTGTTGACTGTGTAGGTGTCTACCCTGCACCTGTGTATCTGGGGGTTAGAGGAGAATGAGTGCCAGATATCTTGCTCTATTACTCTTGCCTATTGCCTTGAGACATGGCCTATCACTAAATCTGAAGCTCACCATTTCATCTGGGGGTTCTGGAAGAGAGGAGGCCCTTAGCATCCACTCAACTCCATACCCCCAGTCCTGGGGCTCCAGGCACATACTGACATGCCCTGACATTTTGTAGGCACTATGGGTTAAGAATCAGATCCCCATGCTTGCAGAACAAATGTTCTTATCACTGGATCCATCTCCCTAGACCCCAAAACACTTTATTTTATAAACTCTATCAAGCCAATTACAAGATTGCTGATAGAGATTTTAATGGTTAAGCAGTATCAATAGACAAGAAGTTATTTTTATTGCTAAGAATATATATATTAATATGCATGCTAAGAGACAGGCCCAAAATGTTATAAGAACTGATGTCTTGGGGACTAATAGGCATTTCTTTCTTCAATTAATCCAGGATTTTTTTCTTTAAAAAAAATAGGGCTATCTTGAACAATTACTTTTTTGTCCTGTTTATCTCGGGGAGATGGTTAAAAAAGAATATCTACATTTCATTCAGCTGTCTTGAGGCATATTTGCAAACAAGATTATTTGCAAATAAGAAATGTAGTAATTTAGTTTTAGTTTCTAAGTCCTTTGGGATTTATCTTGAAAATTTAGGCATTGGTTTGAGAATTTTTACTAAAAAAATTCTTAAACTGTAAACTCCATTATTTTTTCTAGAACATACCTGCCTTGTGTGGAGAGTTCACTGTTGGGCGGAAATTTGTAATATATGACTCATCTTTGGTACTTAAATACTCTGAAACTTTTATAAGTCTATAGAACAATTATGTAACATATAATTTAAAATTGCATAATATACTTTATAAACAGCCCTTTATCTTTTACAAAATACAACACTAAAACAGAATCTTCCAGATATTCCTTTTAATCATCTATGCTTAAAGTTTCTCTCTTTTAGCCTTGGACAACATTTTATCCCCCAGTCAGCCCCTTAAGACATTCAATAGCTTAACCCATTTGAAATGTCAACTACACTCCATAACGGCCAGTAATTGCCTTTTATTTGCCCAAAGCACACATATCCACATATTCTGTTCTTCCCAGGACTGGAGGAGCAACGTTTCTTTCAACTTCTCATTCACTGGCTCAGTTGAGAGCTTATGTAACTCTTAAATCCAGTTTGTCTAATTATGTGGTTTCTGGCCTACCCAGCTGTTTTAACTGCTTTCTGCTTTTGAAAGAAGACTTGGACTATACCTTGTTGGTTACGTGTGTGTGTGTGTGTGTGTGTGTGTGTGTGTGTGTCTGTGTGTGTGCACATGTGAGTATATGTGTGTCTGTGGGGGGGTATGCATGGAAGTGGATGTGTGTGGATGTGGATGTGTGCCTGAGTGTCTACAAACCTTGTCAAACCTTTCAACTTACATAAAAAGTACACAGGCCCTCTGGGGTGAATTAATTACACTGTTGACTGACCTCTAGCCAGGAAGTTTCCTGAAGAGGGGTTGGGGAGAGGGAGAGAAGGTGGGGGCTGTTTCTGCATGAAGGGTAGAAATCTTAGAAAACTTAATTAGAATGAAGACTAAGAGAAAACAAATCAAAATTACTTTTAGATCTACGTGGAAAAGAGACAAAAGTTAGGAATAATTTCATAACACATGAAGTAAATAGATGGGCAAAAATGCTGTCTTCAATGTATTGACTGATAGTTGAGATTTATACCCAACAGGAAAAGGCTTCCTTGGGTTCTTATTATTTATTAAGCCCCTCAGCCCATAGATCTCAAGAACTAAGCCCTTCCCTCTTTTTCAACGAGTGCTTCCAGTTTAACAGAAAAAGGATTCCTGATACTTGCCCAATACATAGAGACATGTAATGAGCAGTCTTTAAGGGCTGGGTGAGCTGACAGCTATTACTGGGGGTGCATCTGCAGCCCCTGAGGGAGCCCACAGGATGAGGTGTGTTAGAAATGGCACTCTTCCTTTGCTATTTCCCAGTCAGAATTGTGAAAAATAAGGAATGCTGGGTCTCAGTCCCCCTAGTGTGGGACCATGATGTGAAAATTTGCAGTGCTAGAATTGTTGAGCTTTCCCAGAGGAGCCTGCTTAATACATACTTCACTCAGAAATGTCCCTGGCATGAAAGGGCTATAAAGATAGAAATGCCACCCTTTGTCGGTTTGAGCTGTCACTCCAAGAGCTGAGGAAAATTCCTTCTCCCTGACTATTGAGCCGGTACCACCCATCCAAATTACAGGTACTGCTGACAAAAGTGTCAACAGCTGACGCGCTGACACCAGGCAATACTCTTGATTTGGGAATTTCAGAATTACTGAGCTCTCGCGGCACCCAGTGCCATGTGAAGCACTTCATAGGCGCTGCTTACTGAGTCTTCTCTCGGCAGAACAGGCTGACTGGGTTGGGTCCTCCTAAACCCCGTTCCCGAGCTTTCATCTGTAGCAATTAAGGGGAAATACTCCTGTGGAATAAGCATAGTTGCAGGAGCCTCCCTTAAGAAAAAGGGCCGGGTCTCAGAAAATGAAGGAAATGAGTGGATCACGGAATCGGAGGTCTATTGCACGCTCTGTGGTATCATTATTCCTCCTTTACCCACAGGGAAGCAGTTTAATGACGCCCACAAAGGCATCCACCGCCTGTGTTCTTAACCACAATCATGCTTCCTTTCCCGACTCCATTGTGGTACATCCCGCTTCTCCCTGGGCAAGTTTCTCCATGAATTACAGCATAGACAGTGGCACTAACTCCACCCTCAGACACTGACAGACGTTCATTCACTTCCTCCCCACGTCTTACTGTTAACTCGGAGACATGGAGCAGATATTTATTAAGCAATTTCTATATATTCAGCTTTCCTCCTAAGCCTTTCAGAGATACCTCTTCCTTTCATTCTTTATATAATTATATCAAGTACATTATTCTAAATGCTTTTTTACTCTTTACATTTTTATTTTATTTAGTTAACACTTTTTTCATTTATTTTACATCCTTACCATGGTTTCCCTCCCTCCTCTCCTCCTGTTCCCTCCTCCCAGCCACCCCTTCCCCATGGACGCTCCCTCAGTCTCAGAAAGAGGCAGGCCTGCCATGGGCTTGAGGAAAGCATAGCACATCGACTTGAGGTAGGACCGAGCTCCTGTCCCTAATTCATAAATGGGGAAATTGAAATACAAGATAAAGGTGAACTCCACAGCATAGTGTGAGTGAGTCTGCTGTTTTCTAAGCCTTGCTCTGGTTTTGCCGTGTTCTCTGGGTATGCAGGGCATCCACAGATTCCTTCTCGTAAGGTTCTCGGAGACTTCTCAAGGAATCATAGCAGACATCTGCTCCAGATGGGGTGCAGCCAGTAATTCTGAAAGTGTTTGTGGCCTGGGGACTGACTGAGCATGGGAGGAGTTACTGAAGCTGGGCATCCCCCACAGTTGGGAAGAAAATCTTGGGACTTTTTGGCATACACACATTCTTCAAGCAGGATTTTTAATTACACTTTAGAAAGCACTAGT